CATGTCTTTTGAGTGGCTGGCGATTGGGCTTGTTTTCAAACCATGGATTGATAAAACCCGAGCTTCAATGGACAACTTTGGGTTTGATTTTTGGGTTCTCAAAACTAAATGAAATTAAGAAGAAATGAAACCTCGGACAACTTTAAATTAGCTTTTTCGATTGGAAATTAAAACGAATTCCTACCTTATTGAGTTGATTTCATCAGTTCATCATAGAGTACCTATGACTCTTTTATTGGGGAAGATGATGAATTTGAATGGAGTAAATAATTAATAAAGAAAATAACTTAAATGTGGCAGTTTTTAATTGGTTTTTGGCATTAAAAATGGACCTTCACGCGCATCATGTGCGTGTTCACAAACATAATGAGAAAATGGGTCAAAATGGTCCTTTTACAAAAATATTCATTTCTTTTGTGGGGTGATAGGACATCCTCAAAGTTAAGGTGTCTTTTTGAAAATTCGAAACAAGTTCAGTTGTGCTTTTATGTCTTTTCTCTTGAGTTCTATATAATTCTCTAAATGTTTCATTACATAAGGTCTATAGATAAATTAAGTAAGAGAATTACAGTCACATAATAAGCAAAATATCTCACACTAAACTATGCACATATGAGGCTCACTAACCATTACTCATTTTAAATCAAAAGACTTGTCTACTACAAAATAAGAGAAATCATAATTTCCTAACAGAAAGGTAATAGGGTGAAGTGTGTTTATAGAACCAAATTTAATCCAGATAGCTCAGTCTAAAAATACAAAGCAAGGCTTGTTGTGGAAAGTTACAAGAAAATTGCAGGTGTGGATTATGGAACCATATTTGCCCATGTTGCACGACATAATACAATATGTCTATTTACTTTGTCAGCTCAATCAAATTGGAACTTGTATCATCTGGATGTGAAATTGTCATTCTTAAATGGACAGTCGGAGAAGGAGATTTTTTTTTGAATGAATGATGGAGAAGGAGAGGCTTTTATGTTCCAGGAATGGAGGATTAAGTGTACAAGCTTCATAAGGCATTATATGGATAAGTAAGCTCCTCGAGCCTGGCACAGTAAGATTAATGCTCATCTCATTTATTATGGCTTCAAAAGAAGTGAAAATATAGCCATTTTATATGTAAACCAAGGTAACATAACACAGACTAGACTTAAATTAAAAAGGTGGGAAGAGTTCACCTATTCAGATATAAAATAGGAAAAGTGTGTCCAAAGTAGCAATCCAAGATTAATAAGAAATAAAATAAAAGAAGACGAGTCCTAGGCGGAAAAGGAAGAAAGCAAACAAGTTCTATGATTCAATTTTTGACCTTAATACCTTTTTACTTTTAGGTTCCATTTTTCTCCCAAATGGATGATCAATTACTTGATGCAATATGTGAACGTCTAGTCTCGTCCTTAAGCACAGAAGGCACTTATATTGTCCGTGAAGGAGATCCAGTCGCAGAAATGTTGTTTATCATCAGAGGTAGGCTCGAGAGTTCTACAACGAATGGTGGTCGGACTGGTTTCTTCAATTGCATTACATTGAGGCCTGGAGATTTTTGTGGAGAGGAGCTACTCGCTTGGGCTTTGCTTCCGAAATCAACGATCAACTTGCCTTCTTCGACCAGAACAGTCAAGGCGCTTGTTGAAGTAGAAGCATTCGCATTGAGAGCTGAAGATCTCAAGTTTGTTGCCAACCAATTTAGACGCCTTCATAGCAAGAAGCTCCAGCATACATTCCGGTTCTACTCTCACCATTGGCGCACATGGGCAGCCTGTTTCATTCAGGCTGCATGGAGACGACACAAGCGGAGAACAATGGCAAAAGATCTTGCAGCACTGGAATCATTTTCTCTGGATGAGAGTACGGTCGATGAAACAGAGCAAAATGAGGAACATGATCAAGGTAACGCTAGCTCAAATCCGTCCCCGAGAATATCACACCTCGGAGTCACAATATTGGCTTCAAGATTTGCTGCTAACACAAGAAGAGGAGCTCAAAAGCTTAAAGATGTAAGATTGCCTAAGTTACAGAAACCTGAAGAGCCTGACTTTTCAGCTGAGCCTGATGACTAGATTACGACTAATAGCTTCATTGAGATATCGATACGATGACCAACTCTGAGATTGAAGTTTTCTGCGATACATTCTTATACTCCAGGATCATCGTTGTACATGTGGAAAACGCGTTTCTAAAAGAATGGTGTTGTAAGAGAGGGAGCTTTTGGCAAGGGAATGTGGTTTTTCTTTACCTTTTTGGTTAATGTAATTGTATTTAAGATTAGTATTTTCAGTAGCAGGATGCTAATATGTACTTATATAAACTCAATAACATTTCAAGTCATTTGTAAAAACTTAGAGTTGCTAGTTCCATAGCACAAGTAAATAAGTATTTTCTCAAAAAAATTTACAATGCTTCATGTCCTTTTTTTCCCTCTATCTTGCTTCAAGGTACTTGGAATCTGATTTTGGTTATGCTTATAAATTTGTATCCACTGAGGGTCTATATCAGCCTCTGAGGTAGGAATAACTCGATAAGGTTTGTGTATGCTCTCTCTTCCCCATATCTTACTTTGTGGGACTGCACTAAGAATGCTGCTGCTGCTGTAATAAATTTGTTTCCAATTATTTATGCTACGAGGTCATTTGGTTCACATGCTAGTTATATGAGGTTTATGATGCAAAGATTTTTTATGCGATGAATAATAATGTACGATTGTTATATAGTGAATAATAATTCACAGGCCTTTAAGGGTAAAATAGAAAAATATTATAGATTTTTGCATAACTTAAACATGTATATTACTGATGCTTCCAAGTAAATGTTCACTTAGTAAGCAATTTGTTCTTTGTGAATGAAAGAACTCTTGGTATAGGTTCTTTCTCCAAGTCTATACATACACATTACCCTCTCTAGACTCCGCCTATGGAATTACACCAGATATGCTGTTAAGTTTCACATTTTCTTTCTTACCTACAAATCTGTCTGGAGCCAACCTTTTGTGTCAATTGTAGCCTTTGAAACTCGAGGATGATGAGCTCACACATCAAGAGTTCGTTCACTTGGCGCATGACACAAACCTGTGACTTAAGACACAAGTCCCTTAACCTTTGGTCAAGGCTATAAGTTTCACATTTCCCCCAATCTACTACTTAACAGAAGTCCAGAGATCTTGGTTTTCTTGTCTTTGAATTCAGATCATTGAGACACTCCAGAAAATTGAATAAAAATAAATAACACAAAAAAGAAGGCAGTTGTGTGCCTGCATTTACACAGATCTAAGAAACATGTACATCTAAGTTAGTAATACAGAGAAACTAGAATAAATTGATTATGAAAAGTAGGTGGGGCGGGGGAGTCGAAAGTAGAGTCTCTCACGTCCAGATCAAGTTTGTGTCGTGGCGTTTATGTTCTCTTTATGTAATACAATCTCATTTCTCCAGCTTTAACCAGAAGTCTTGTTTCAATATTTATTATCAATGTCATAAAACTCTATATTCTTGTATTTTTGGGATATGATCTCCGCCTGCACTTTCCTTGCAGTGTCTGTAGCACAACCAACAAGAATAAGCACTGACGTGCCTGCAAAGCCTCGGAAAGCAGTGAGGTGTGTGGCTTGTTCAATCACAGCAGGGCCAGCAGCGAGAAGTGCCAAAAATGCAGAACCAAGAACTGATATCCGGCTGAGTACCTGTAAATCCCCCATTTATGGCATGAATCTTGACAATTACATCTTTGAACCTTAATAAGATTACCACGTGCAGCTATTTATACAGTATATATGCGGTACATCAATTACCAATTCTAGAGAGTCAAGTATACAGAAAAGGGACACTATCCATGCTAGAAAAGAAACAGTGAAGTGAAATTGCACTACCAAAGGTTGTGGTGGGATTGATAGTACCCTCCGACCCTTAACCAAAGATCTCAGATTTGAGCCTTGAGAATGGAGAAACTCCTGGTAGGGAGCTTCCCCCTTTAATAGGCCTTATACGACACAAATTCAGAATAATCGGGTCAACGATTTCAAACACCAGATCCACCTTGCTTAAAACAGATGAGGATCTCAAATGGTGGCTAATCTAACTATTAAAGGTAATATATACGGGCTCTGACAAAGTCACCAGGGGATATGACACTATAACTATGGGGGTCACTCATTTTTTTCTTTGACGACAATTTTTCCATCTTAGTATCTTGAATTATTCTTATTTTAAGTCAAGGAGCAATCGGAAACAACCTTCTGTGTACCCTCTACCCTCCCCAAACCCCACTTGTGGGATTACATTGGGTATTTTATTGTTGTTGTATTATCTTGAATTATTAACCACTAGTAAAATTACTCGCGCTTCGCGCGGAAATTTAGTATCACGGAATTTATAAAATAATACTTAAAACCTATCAGTCATTAAAACTAAAACACTATATTATCTTACATACAAGATTACGTAGTAACAAACATTAATAATGTAAAGGACAATGAAAATTATTACATCTTATCATTTAGCCTTAATAATATAAGCATAAATTATAAATTAATGAATGTAAAAATACATACCAGGATCTGTAACATAAGCAATAGTGTCAGTGAGCCACTCAACATGAGCAAAGTATACAAATATTTAATTGTGAAGAAGAAGAAGAGGAGGAGGTTCAGAATTTTCGTTGTGTTAAAATGAGGGGAAATCCCTATATTTATAGACAACAAAGGGTAGTGTGAACAAATGTTTCTTGTGCCTTATCAGAAAGGTTACAACTATTTGGAAAAGTTGCAACCCTTTGGAAAGGTCACAATCTTTCATAAAAGTCATAACTTTTCATAAAAGTCGCAACTCTTCATTAAAGTCGCAACTTTTCATAAAAGTCGCAACTTTTCATAAAAGTCGCAACTTTTCATAAAAGTCGCAACTTTTCATAAAAGTCGCAACTTTTCATAAAAGTCGCAACTTTTCATAAAAGTCGCAACTTTTCATAAAAGTCGCAACTTTTCATAAAAGTCGCAACTTTTCATAAAAGTCGCAACTTTTCATAAAAGTCGCAACTTTTCATAAAAGTCGCAACTTTTCATAAAAGTCGCAACTTTTCATAAAAGTCACAACTCTTTGTTAAAGTCACAACTTTTCATTAAAGTCACAATTTTTCATAAAAGTCACTACTTTTCATGAAAGGGAAGGCTAATTTTGTAAATAAATAAATTAAAAGGGAATTATGATTTGTGGTAGCGCCACGTAGGTGGGCCTAAGGTACTCTTTTATATATGATATATGATATATGATATGATTGTGACTTCTATTACTTTTATGTAGTTTCGCATATACGTATATTTTCTTCCAAAAGTTTGATAAATCTGAGTCCAAATTCCCACCAAAAATTAGGTGCTTTGACCCTCGCTCTCCGAACTTATTCACATAGAATGTGACAGAGAGAGTACGTCTTTTAGATAAATATCTAAATATATTTACAGTTTCCTGATATATCCATCAAAAGACTCGAATACCGAAAAATGCCTACTCACTTGAGAAAGAGCGCTGGTCCTGCTAGATTAATACTAGAATGATTTATAGTTTCTTAGTGCAGTAACAACTGAGCTTACCAAAGCTGTGGGTTAATTTCCCATTAGATTCATCACGGTCATTTCGATGTTATGAAAATGATGAGTGAGAGCTATATTTGAGAATCAAGATAGGCATTAAGCAGAAAGAGAACACGACTATCAAAGAAACTGGAGAAGGAAATAATACCGTTTTGATGAATGCCGCTGTGCTTTTACCCGGTCGAACAAGTGGGATTGAGGCACCTTGTCGTTTCAACTGATCACTGACATCATCAGGGTCCAATTGCAGGAATGTATAATAGTAATTGAAGAAGGCAATCAACAAAATGTTTGTCGGCAGATAGAAAGAACCTACAAACGAACAGCTGTTTTAGTTGTAGCCCTCAAAATGTTACAAAGTGAAAAAATTAAAGTCCACACATGCATGTGCCGAAAGAAATGCACTATCAATAATAATAAGCAAATTCTCATTGTTTTGCTTATTTCCTTTTGTTGAAAATAAAAAAACCAGTTTTTATCTTTTTCCTTTTATTTCCAAAATGACAGTCCCCGACTCATCGATAATCTCCCCTCGGGGAGAAGATTTAGACCACAACCCTATGTAAAATTAAATATTCCTCTGTAGTGCAAGGCTTTAATAAGAATACCACCTAGTCCACCTTAGACAAGTCACTTTCCTATTTCTGCCTCTAGTTGCTCTATCTTTTACGCATTACCACTAACTCAAAAGTATTGCACAACAGGTTTTACAAGACTAAACCTCTTCGCTTAGAGATAGTCGGCAATTTGTTTTAAATTTTTTGTACATCAGGAAAGGAAATGCATATGCATCATAAGTTCAGACGGAGTCGAGTTTAAGGCACAAAACTTTTTCAGTGAAAAGTGATCGTGAAGTAAGGTAACTGCACTATTTTTACTTACCTCCAGGGTTTAAACCTGCTGCAGCCTTTCTCAGGAAACCTACACCAGTGAAACGTGCCAAAGTGCCAGGAAGGGCTAGTGATGATGTTGAGAAAATAATCGGCATTACTCCTGAACTGTTCACCTGTTCATTGTAACTATAACTGTAAGTTGCTAAGAAGGATCATAATATTCTAATTGCAAAAGAACTTCACTGCAGCTTCCATCACAAATATAAGGATCAACAGGAGCGATGTGTCTCCCTGTCTTGTTCACTTGAGCTACCAAACAATCCACAAAAAGTACCAGAGATTCCACATAACGACTCTGATAAAAGCATGTACATGGAAACAAAACAGGACTAAGTTTCTCGGACTCGGGTGCAGGTGTCCGATACGGATATGGATCTAGAGGTCGGATCCTTCATGATCTAAATTTTAAGATTCGGGGGTATAGATCCGAGTGCCGATATGGGTGCGAGGATTTGGCTAAATTTAATTCAAATATCTAAAAATAGAGTTATATGTCTAAATTTTGAGACATTTTGTGGAAAACTATCAAGGTATTCCAAGGAGAAAATATTGATCAAGAGGAGAATCCTAAAAGTAGATATAAAGAAGAGGATTGACAGAGAAATTTCTATATACAAAGTATTCCATTTTCTTCAATTTCACCTTTAACTTTTGTTTTTAACAAAAATAATCATTGTATCTGTCCCAATTTCTCCGTCGATTTTGGTCGAAGTATCCAAAATTGGTTGCCAGATCTGGTAAGGATCCCATACACACACCCACACCCACACCAACATCATGTTGATACGGGTGCGGCACCGTAAGTGAGAAGTTCGAGCAACTTAGACTACGGATGTAGAGTTGCGGTTTCTAGGATGTTCGGAAGATACATTAGTTCTGAACCTATGACACAATTGTTGCACTCACTTCTCCCACAC